CACACACACACACACACACACACACACACACACGTCCCATGTGAGTTTTAAGCTGCCGGGTCTGGGACTCAAACAGCAGGTGACTATGTGGGAACCCCGAGACATAACCATTATGTCATCTGCTGGTCCCGAGGCTTGCTTTTCATTGTGCTTGTTTCTTAGACAAGGATGCTGAGGCTCAGAGTGGGGATATGACTGGCCCAGAGCATGGAGGTAACACCCTAGAGTCCTAGATGCTGAAGTGACAGACACTCTGAACTGAGACTCCCAGTGTCAGGCTCAAGGTGATGGTTGAGACAGGTCAAGGCCCGGACTCCCCTCTGGCCAGTCCAAGGCAGGGCCTCTGGGCCTGGGCTCCTCAGCCCACAGAGCTTCCTGGATAGAAGCAGGTATCTCGTGGTCACTGGGGATTGTCACCCCATGTGGTCACAGAAAGCCATCGCGGTAACCTGAACACGAAAGCCCTGTGAGGGATGCTGTTGTTCCCATTTTTCAGATAAGGAGACTGAGGCCCAGGGAGGAAAAGCAGCACCTCAAGCCAAGCCACTCAGTTTCTAAATCTAGCATCTTCTCCCTAGGAGCCCTGGGGACGAGATTGGGGGGGGGAGAGACTGTCAGCTTGGGGGACCAGAAAGGTTTATAGGTCACAGTTAGGATTAGCGGTCTTGCCACCAACAGCGTGGACGTTGTCATTGCCCTGTCACTCACTCAGTGTGCAACCTCAGGCCAGTCCCTTCCCAGCCATGGCCTCGGTTTCCCTCTTTCTTTCTCTCATCCCCTGGAGGGCCTTTTCTGAGAACGGACAGTCCCCCACTGGAAGGGCCAGCACCGTGCGGGGGTGGGGACCTGGTGCCAGACAAGTCTGTGGTCCTCGGCTGCCAGGACTTCCCCTTGTGGCCCAGTCCCAGCCTCGTTGGAGACAGCATGGGGATGTCGCACCCCCTCAGCCCTTCTTCCACCCCTAGCCCGGCGCCCCAGGCACCCCTTGGCAACAGAGGGACCAGAGGCAGAAAAGAGGCTTTGTGTCTGGGGAGGGGGCGGCCCGGGAGGCCTCCCAGGGGCCGCCCCCAGCCCCAGGAATGTGGAGAGACTTTAAGACCCCCAGAACCTGGGTGCCCAGGGGCTATGCAGAGCTGCCTTAGCTAGCTCCTGCCCTTGCAGCCTGCCAGTCCCTCCTGGAGCTACTTCCTGCCCCTGCAAGGCCCCTCGCAGCCCCGAACTGTCCATCTCAGCACTGGAGTTCAAGGCATGACAGCGTCCCAGCCCAGGCCCCTAACCCCTGCAGCGCCAGGGTCGTGGGCCCGATCGCAGGATGGGGAGAGTGCAGAGGGTGAAATGGATGCCATCTTCTCCCCCAGCCCCTCTCCAGGGGACAGTCTAACTCTAGGTGCTCATGGGTCATCTAGCGGGTGCCTTCTCTCGGAGCCTCAGTTTCCCTCTCTGAATTGCAGAGTCTGATGACTTCTGTCCCAGAATGGAGAGGAGGACCTCGTGAAGAAGATACTTTGTTGGTGTCCCTGAGCCCTGGGGCGCCCCAGGTCCGCTGGGGCTGCGGGTATGGGGCCCCGTCCAGGAGCAGGAACTGAGGATGGTGGTCAGTGCTGTGTTAAGGCTGTGTCAGAGATCTCTCTGCTGGAGGAGACGCCGCTGTACCCATTTGCAGATGGACAAAGTGAGGCCCAGAGAGGACCAGGGCCTCGTGCGAGGTCACCGACCTAGAAAGACCGAGACTTGGCCCCAGTGTGGGGTTCTGGCTCTCGTCTCCCCACCCCCACGCGGTCTCTGTTCTTTCCTCTCCTTTTCATAGCGGCCCTTGGCCCCAGGCCTGCTTGGCTCCCTCCAGCAATTAGCCCCTATCGCTGTTCCGGATCACAGCCTTGCGCCCTGTGGAGAAAAGTCCCCTGGGCCCCTCGTGGCAGGGGGTGGAGGATGGGGTGAGGGAGGCCCTGGAGGGGGTGGCTGGTGCCAGGCTGAGCTGGTCTGGCCTGTTTTCTCCCCTCCCAGCGGCCTCTACGGGCCAAGGAGTGCCGAGTGGGCCCCAGTGGCGGCCCTGGAGGGCAGTCTGCCCCTCCCAGGCCCTGCCCTGGCCCCACTTCACCGCCCAGCCTCACCCAGCTCCTAGACAGGGTATCACTGACCACACTCAGGGGAAAGAAGCCCCCAGAGGCTGCAGGGGTAGAGGCAGGCAGCCCAGTGCTGCTTCTGACTGAAAACTTGGGCCTTGGCTCCTCTGCCCAGAGCCCCTGGTTCTTGGTCATTTAGTCACTCAGCAAACATCCCTCAACCTCGGACTGAGCTCTGTACTGGCTCTGTCCCCGCCTCCTCTCTCTCCCAGTACATGCAGGAAAGAGCGAAACTCGGGGTCTCTATGAGTGCCCGAGGGGGACCCCTAGGGATTCTCAACCTTGCTAGGGCCTCAGCGCTGAGACCCAAAGGATGACTAGGAAGGACTTTGCAGGCTGGGAAGTGATCAAAGGTGAGACAATGCAGCCCAGGGCAGGGAGGGCAGGAAGGTTGGAGAGGGCAGAGCACATGTGTGGGCAGGGTGAGCAGCGCACAGGGTGGAGTGGGCAGGGCTTGCAGGGCCATGGGGAGCCATGGTGGTCTACGGAGTCCACGGTGGCCACTGGCAATGTTAGGTCTGTGCAGAAAGAGCCTCTTGCTGCCCCCTGGAGAGTGGACAGGGGCGGGAGAGTAGCAGGGCCCAGCTGGGGCCTCGTGGAGCTGCTTGGGGTTGTGCTGGGTCTTCTGGGGCTGGGTCCTCCAGTTGATGAGCGGGGGGGGGGGGGCAGTTTTGGTGACCCCTAGTGGAAAGGACAAAGGGCAGCCCACCTGGCCTGAGTGTCCCCTCCGTGCAAGTCTGACTAGGCAGCTCCCAGCCCTCATCTGAGAAGCAGGGGATTCAAGTGAAGTCCAGATCTGAGAGAGAAACTAGAAAGCCAGGCAGGGGAGATTTTAATTAAGGAAGAAAAAAAATATTTTTTCGAGTTTCCCCTTAGCCAAAAGGACAGCAGACCAGTTGGTGGCACAGTGGTTGAGGTGGCTGGATCCCACATGGCCGACTATACGGTTCGCATCCTGGAGCAGGCAGCTTGAAAAATGTTCTGGGCGTGTGTTCGTGTGTGACCAAAATCCTGGGAGGAAAATGGAGGAGATGTCTCTCTGTCTCTCTGTCTCTCTCTGGTGAGCACATGTGCCCTATTTATTATTGTTAATAATAGCTAAAATTAAATGAATAATTCTAAAATTTGACAAAAGCTTGTGGAAACATGGAATTAAAGTACCAGCTAGTAACGTGGTGGTAAGGCAGCCGGATCCCACATGGTTGACCATGTAGTTCAAGTCCCAGGCTCGCCAATATCTAAAACACACTGGGTGTCTCTGTGTGTGGGTGAATGCCCAAAATCCTGAAAGGAGAAAAAAGTGGAGAAGGGATTGTGGTGTGACCATTCCTCATGGGGAAGCAGGTGCTTTATCTCTCTCTTTCTCTCTCTCAGGAGAGCATGCATCCTCAGGGAAAAGTAAATTAATTAGGTAGAAAACAAAAAAAGGAACCAGTTTTTCTGGCATAAGAAAGTTTGAAACCCATGCAGAGTTTTTTCATAATAGCATTTTCTATAAACTTTTTGAAGACTCCCTCAAATGTATATATGTGTATAAATAGTCTTTTTTTTTTTTTTTTTTTTTGAGAGAGATTTTCACTGTAGGGCGCGTGCGTTCGCCAGACAGACAGAGAGAGACATAGAGACAGAAAGCGAGAAATCACCCCCCAGGGGGGATGGTCACGCCGCAATCCCTTCTCCTCCATTCTCCTCTCGGGATCTTGGGCACGCACGCACACGCGCCCGGCGTGAGTTTTAAGCCACCGGGTCCGGGACACGAACCGCGGTCGACTACGTGGGAATCCAGCGACATAGCCATTACGCTAACTGCTGGTTCCCTAAATAGTCTTTTGACCCTCCCTTTTTCCCTCTCTCCTTCCTGTCTTTCTTTTCTTCAATTTATTTTGTTTCATTTGTTGTTGTTATTATTTTTATTTTGATCAGAGGGAGAAAGGGAAAGTAAGAAAGCAAGCCTCCGGGTCTGGGACTCAAACCATGGTCGGCCATGTGGGAATCCAGCACCTGAACGACCATGCCACCTGCCAGCCCCTCTTTCTTCTTTCTGATTTTAATAGAAATGCAGTCGTTCTACATCTGTCAGCTCGTGCTCGCCTTTCCCCTAGCCCAGAGGGAGCTGGGTCTCAGGCCAGCTGGCACAGGTCAGGCTCTGTCATAACATCTGGTGTTCTAGGTCTAGTGGCCCCGTAACTGCTTAGGCTGCCTCTGGCTCTGTCCCTACCTGTCAGCGCTGCAGTAAGCACCTGTCCCCCTGTCATAGTGGGGGACAGGCCCAGGGTTGTTGAGCTTCTGTCGTTTCATGGGCCAAGCCCATGTCCCTTCTCCCAGCTTTCCCACCCAGGCGGTTTCCGTCTCCTGGACTGATTCTGAAGTGACTCTGAAAGCTGAAGAGACTTCCCTGGGTCCCACAGACTAACTTGACGGAGGCCTGGTCCCACCAGGGACTTCCTCCTGATGGGCCAGGATGGGGGCAGGGCGACAGCGGGCAGGGGCTGAACCGTGGCGGTTGCAGGCGCCTCTGTGATGGCTGGGACATTCCAGGTGCTCAGCGGCCCTCAGCCCTGCACGGGGTCACGGGCCCTGTGTTTTTGCAGGGGCTGGGGAAGGAAGGATGGTTTCAGGTGACTGTCCTCAGCCTGAGCCCCCATCCCACTCAGCTTCTTTGTGGCCTCGAGTCTGGGGTCAGCAGGTTCCCAGGCTGGGGCCTTCACAGGGCCACGGATGGTCGCTCAAGGAGGTGTGGAGCGGATAGCGCCGAGGCCTCTGGGACGGAGTCAGAGCCAGGCTGCGCCGGGCTCGTGTGTGACGTGTCTTTGCCTCCCTGAGCCCCAGTGTCCTCTCTAAGGTGCGGGGCACCCTGCAGGCTCACCGAGGACGAGCATGCGAGAAGTGCCCCGGATGGGCACCAACGGGATTTTAGGCGGCATTTGGAGCAGTCAGTCCTCTGTGCTTGGGACATCACACATCCCGCGATCACAGAGGGACATGAGGCTACGCGCCACAGGGCCTCCCCTCTCACAGACCATGAGTCCCCAGCTCAGCTCAGTGTGACAGTGTGCAAGGGCCACAGGATCAGGTCAGGTCGGGTGTGCTAGGGGGGTGGGGGGCGGACGTGGGAAAGACGGCGGGAAGAGGTGACAGCACCCAGGACTGGGAGGGTAGGAGGCACCAGATGGAGACACGGAGGAGGAGAGCCGCAGGCCATGGGCCCAGCGCCAGCAGGGCCCGGAGCTGGGAGTCCATGGCAGGCGTGAGCACCGGCAATCCAGGAGAGGGCGCTGCTGCTGTCCAGACGGGAGCAGAAGTGAGGGTGGCCTGGAGGGCCAGGGGTGGACAGAAGAGATGCCCTGCCCATGTCCTGCCCTGCGGTTTATTCCCCAAGACCTCCTGAGACCTCCCCAGCATAGCCGCCCCCCTGGTCCCATGGAACCCACCCCTCAGCCATGGGCAGCATGGGGACTCCCATGGGGCCCAGAGGACTCTGAGAACTCAGGGGTCTCTCTGCCCAGAGACTCGGGACTTTTGGAGGAAGTGCAGACCACCTCGCCCGGAGGCCCAGGCAGGAGGCCGTACAAAAGAACAGAAGGGATTGCGGAGCAGACATCCCTCCAGGGAGTGATTTCTCACGTCTCGTTCTGGGACTGTTTCAGGAACTGGTGCTCCTACGTGGTGACCCGCACCGTCTCGTGCCACGTGCAGAATGGCACCTACCTTCAGCGAGTGCTGCAGAACTGCCCCTGGCCCATGAGCTGCCCGGGGAGCAGGTAAGGCCGGAGTGGAGTGGAGAAGGGGCAGGTGGCTCTCCAGCCTGAGGCACAGTGTGGGCGGAGACCTGCTGGCGGGATTGCGAAGGGAGTGCAGGGGCAGGCTGGGAGGCCCCAGGGTTGGTGGGGCAGAGGCAGCCTCTGTGCCCATTGGCAGTATCCCCTTGTGCCCTTGAGGAATCCTTAAGGGCTTCCTAGGGGAGGGGGCCCACCATGGACCTACATTCCTTCATTCAGTGAGTATTTACTGCCAGAGACAGGCTAGCCCAGCCTGCCGGGATTTCCTGTCCAGTTAGTGTCTGATCCCTGAGGTTGGGGTGCAGCTCCCCAGGGAAGGACAGAGGGGAGAGATTCCAGAGGGGCCCGGAGGGGGCAGAGGAGCCCCTGAGGCCCAGGGTGGTGGGAGAGGGGCAGAAGGCCCCGCCTAAGCTGGGTACCTGGGCCTCTTTCAGCTACAGAACTGTGGTGAGGCCCACGTACAAGGTGCTGTATAAGACAGTGACTGCACGCGAGTGGAGGTGCTGCCCCGGGCACTCGGGGGCGAGCTGCGAGGAAGGTAGGACTGGCTACCTGGCTGGCTCCGGCGCCCCGTGGTGGTGGGCCCGACCCCGTGGATGTGTGGGAGCAGTAAACCATGGCTGTGTCCCCAGACACAGGCCCTGCAGAGCGCCATGAATGCTGAAGCCACGGCACAGGGCTGCGGGCGTGGCCCAACAGCGTGGGCTGCCTGACCACCGACCACCGCGCAGTGACTCGTACCAATTCTCCCAGGAGGCGTTCAGGACCCCGGGAGAATTCCCCGGGGCTGTCCCACATGCTGTGTAGCTCACATTTTTAATTTTTAGTTTTTTAGTTTTTGTTACAGGAGGGTGCATGCACTTAACAGAGAGACAGAGGGAAAATGAGAAAATGAGAACTAACACCCTCTAGGGGTGGGATGGCCACACCGCCATCTCTTCTCTCCCATTCTCCTCCCTGGATTTTGGGCTTGCATGTACACGTGCCTGGTCCAGGACTCGAGCCACATAGTCAGCCATGTGGGATCCAGCTGCCTTAATCTCTGTGCCACCTGCTGGCCCACACCGCTCACACGTTAAGTAGCACCATCCCATATCTTCTTCCAGACTTAGAAAAAGCCCAAGACATTTCCGTGGGTTCTGGTATCTGTTTTGTGAGTCTTAGAGGTAGGGATGGTTATACCAATCCCCCAGATGAGGAAATTGAGGCTCAGGGAGGCGATAGGCACACAGCTCCTAAGTGGCAGTGTTGGGATTTGAACCCTGTCTGCCTGGATGTGTGAAAACAGTCTCTGAGTCAAGGGCATGTGGTGTTCGCAGAAGCCACCACTGAGGGTGCTTCTTGAGAGATTCACACACTTTGCCTTCCAGGACCCCACAACGGCCCAGTTCACAGACAGAGCAACTGAGGCCCAGCGTGGTAGCGTCCAGAGCCCAGCGTCACACAGGAGTGGGGTGGATGGGGAATAACCAGTGTGGGAAAGGGAGGGAGCCTGGGGCAGGGGGAGGAGCTGAGAGCCCTAGTGGAGCTGGGGAGGAAGTGGGGGAGGGGAGCCACCCCATGCCAGTTCCCCCCACAGACAGGCCGCCAGGAGAGTGGGGGCGTGGGAGGCCAGAGCAGGCCCATGTCTGAGGGAGCCCAGGACAACACCTCGCTGGTGGGCAGAGGAAGGGGAGTGGTGGGGCCTGCAGGGCAGGAGGAGAGCCGGCCAGCAGGGCAGCTGCCAGGGAGGCCACGGAGGAGCTGACGGTGGGCGGGTGAGTCCCTGGGCGCTGGGGCCACCTGGGCCCAAAGGGCTTGAGCACCAGCAAGGCCTGCCCAGACAAAGGCCGCTGTGTCCCTGGCTCTCTCCCAAGGCCGTCTTCCCCATCTCTGGAGCCTTCGGGGTTGGGAGGACCAAGGACAGGCGGGGCAGCACCTGTGCCCTTGGGTCCGGCTGCACCTGCAGTCAGGAGCCAGGCTCCTGAGGGCCAGGCTGTGCCGATGGCAACACGGGGGTGCGAGATGGGTGCTGGGGCCAGGCCTGCTGTGATGTCTGCCAGCTCTCACTGCCAGCCCTTCAGGTTCCAGCCTGGGTATGGGGGAGCCCAGGGCTTCCTGGGCCAGGCTAGCTCTGCCTTGCACCAGCTGTGTGGCCTTGGGCAGGGGACTCCCTGGGTATTGTGCAAGTCATTTCACAAGGACACGAGGCTGGGGGTGGGGGCTGCAGCTCAGGGAGTGGGAGGGGCATAGCCTACAACTCCCTCCCCCCCCCCCCGCCTCCACAGTTCCCCCCGCCGAGCCTCATTGTTCCCCCCTGCAAGACGGGCAGGACAGTAGGATCTGCCTCCCAGGGATGTGACCAGGGAAAGGAAGCAGTGAAGGTCCACAGGTGGCGGCAGCCCGCAGGGCTGTGATGCTCAAAGGGATAGGAGGGGCCTCTCTCCTCCTCTAGGTCAGAGCTGAAGAAAGGGAGGTCAAGGATGGATGAAGGATGGATGCCCAGACCTAAATATTCTACAAAATGCTCTGCTGGGGGCTGGGCATGGGGTGCAGGGAGACCTAGCCTTTCCTGGCCCGCCCCAGGCCTGCCCTTCTCCCATGGCTCAGGCCGGGCTGGGCTTCCCCTGCTGGTGACCACCTTTGTGGCCTGGCCACTGCTGTCACCTAACCTGAGACACAGAGCTGCGTCTCCAGGGGTGACAGGGCCCACAGCAGCCTGGGATGAGCCAAAGACGGGGAGGATACACCTGTCATTTCAGAATCCAGCCTGGCAACCGTTGCATTCTGCTGTGTGACTCGGGGCGCCTCACTTTCCCTCTCTGAACCTTGGCTTTATCTGGGAGCTGAGAAGGGAGCACTCATGCCCAGCACGTACGCGATGCTGGGGCAGTGTCCTCTCCCCTTCCACCCGCTGTCCTGCAGATTCTGTGGGGACCCAGCAGGCAGCCCCATCTTTTGCCTCTGAGACCCCACGTCTCAGACAGCTGCTCAACAAACAGGCCTCGAGTCTGGACTTAGCATTTTGGTGAGGCCAGCGGGCTCTAGCCCTGCCCTCTGCCCTGTGGGACACCATTTTCTCTCTGGACAGCAGATGAGGATGGTTTCATCTGATGAAACCCATAAGGAAGGGGGTTGAACTGGCCCAATTTTTTTTTTTTTTCTGAGAGGTTTTTGCTATAGGGCACGTGTGCTCACCAGAAAGAGAGAGAGAGACAGAGAGACAGAAAGCGAAAAATCACCCCCCGGGGGATGGCCATGCTGCAATCCCTTCTCCTTGGGATCTTGGGCACATACGCACATGTGCCCGGTGTGTGTTTAAGCCAGTGGGTCTGGGGCTCAAACCACAGTCGACTACATGGGAGTCCAGTGACATAGCCATTACACCAACTGCTGGTCCCAGAACTGGCCCCATTTTATAGGTGGGGAAACTGAGGCTCAGAGAGGTGAAGGGCCTGGCCTGGGGACACTCAGCATGTGAGAGCCAGGACTGCGACCTGTGTGACCAGTGCCCTCCTCCAGGCCCAGGGAGGTGGGCTGGGTGGCAGTCGGGAGCCCACCTGCCTCTGGTTCGTCAGAACAATGGGGTGCCTCGGAAACAATGGGTGAGGAAGGCCAAGGTCGGAACGCATCAGTGGCCAGGCAGGGCAGACAGGGTGAGCCCAATGCCAGGGCCACGTCAGGAGGGTGAACAAGCCCAACAACCCCTCTGGGCCCAGACCTGACCTCCCCAGTGCCCTGGGCTGGTGGGCTCTCCTGAGAGTGGGGGTGTTGCAACCACCCCCATGTCTCTCTGCCTC